CTCTCTTAGCATTTTGCAATTATTATTTTAGTTTTCTTATCATTAAAATTAACACATGTCATTTAATTTTTTTTTTTAACTTTAACCCTTTTGTTATGAGTGCTGTAACTAACCAGCATTTAAGCAAAGCCCTGTGTGTGCCACAAGCATTATATTTTGCCATCATCCACACGATGACCTGTGTGTAAGAGCGGCACATTTGACAAGGTAACATTTAATAACCAGTCGAACTAATCTCTAATCTGTCTAATCTCTCATTGACCTGTATTTGATGAATAGTGCCAAAAGTTCATTTTGAAAGCACTTACTAATATGCTTTGTAAGTCAAGAAAATATTTTGCTTTGATTTATTGATTGGTAGAAAAAAATTGAAATAGAAAGGGTGTTTGCAGTTAAAGCGACAAAAATAGAGAATCAAAGTATGACTATAATTATTTTGTGGGTTTCTGTGCTGACCATTGTTTTAAAATTTATCATACTGAATTAAATGAATAAAATATTGTTGAATTTTTTCCCAATTGCATTTTTATTTATAATTTTTGAAAAACCTTCGAATATCTGAACATTAACTAACCTATATGCAAGGTGCACGTTTTGCAGCCTGGTGCACCCTTCAGTGGTGTTACATAAGCGGAGCGGACTGTCACGAAAGATTTAAAGCTTCAAGACTAACCACATTAAATCAGAATTATTAGATTAGAAAATTTTATAAAATGAGTTTTCAAAGGAAAAATTAATAGTTAAGTAAAGTTTCTAATTTTCCTGTAATAAATCAATGCACTTCTTGTAATTTAAATTGTAAACTTCTAATTTTCGTTATATGAAGGAATGGTGGCATATGTACCTATATATTATTAGAATATTTAAAGTTTTTTTTTTTCTTCTTTATAAAAGTTCTATTGGTAAAAAGTTTCGAAAACCGCAAGGCTGTTCTTTTTTTTTTTTCTTTTTTTTCCCCACCTATTTAACAGCCTTGTAAATTATTATTTTTTAATAAGTTGCAAAGAAATGTGAGGCCTTGTACTACTATGAAGCCACATCAATTAAATGTTTAAACAACCCTACAGTGGCTTACACCTCATATTAAGGGCTTAAAGCATGTAATTCTTTATTAAATTTCAAGACACTGATTTTTTTTTCCTTGGATTGTAAAAAAAAAAATTCATCTTGTTTCCGAAACTTGATCATCGTTTTAAAAAAAATATTTCCGATCGATTTTGTGGTTAAAATGTGCATAGTTTAATTTGTACTTTTAGTATTTTTTACCATATACCATAGCATCTTTTAGTTTGCTATTCTAAACGCTTGTGCCGATTACGTCAAGTTGCGAAAAAGCTTATCTTTTCTTTCTTCATTACTTTCCTTCAGATTCCTGGGCTATTTCATTTATTATTACAAGTTTTGTAACACAATATAAGATTTCTTCATACACCCTGTAAACATAAATATCAAGACGCCAACAAAAAAAAATTTATTCTCCTTAAAAATCATGAATACAAGCATTGAAGTTCAATTTCTCTAAATGTTTAATTTGATTGTTTTGAGAAGCCAAAAAACAGTTTCGGGATTCTAGTTAATTTTATTTTGATCAAGGTTTTTATTTAAATTTGCAACTATTGCCTTATAACTTTGAAATATTAAACTTGAAACATAAAAAGTTAAGAGGGAGATGTTACTATAAGAGGTCATCCCCAAATGACACACTTCTTTCTAGTATTTTTGATTCTTCTCTCTTTTTATTACAAAGTTTCACACTTGATCATACCTCTCTTATAACATGTCATGCTATATAATACAAGGGTATATTAGCACTTCAAAAAGGAAACATGTATAACCAGTGATTCCGATTCGTCTTAGGTGCTCTAATTTGTCAAATACATTAAAATCTTGTAGTGAATGAAAAAAAATTTGCCTTGTTTCCCTGCATTGCTTAATTCTCTGGTTCAAAAAAAGAAATAGAACGCATGCATATGTAGACAAAATTATTGATAAAGTTCCTTTTTCCTGTTAAATTAACTGAAGGTTAAAAATTAAAATTCTGAGGTTTCATCATTAGTTTCTCTAAGTTCTTAGATCAATCCTAATTTAAAGCCTTGATTATTCAAATATAAGTCCTTATTATGAAATTCTTTGTTTTATCTATCAATAGATTAAAAAAAATTAGAAAAACATTTATTATGTTTTAATGACATTTGAGAGCATGACAAAAATGGTTAGTTATGTACTTATTTTAATTAACAAGGTGCGTGACGTTTTTAAAAAATGCTTAAGTGTGCTTATTATCGATTTATATTTTTTAAAAGCCCTTAAAGGTGCTTTCTTTTCATTGGGTGTTTTTGAAAAGTGCCTAATTTTCCCTTTTTCAAAATGAGATTTTACCATGTTGATTTACGCTACGAATAATGCGAAAAGGCACAGTTCACGTTGTTTTCTTCAACGTTTTCTCAATTAATTCAACCCCAATCTATTTAAGTGTAGCGTATGAAAACGCCATTGGTTTTACATGATTTAAAATTTCATGATTTTTGACAATTGTCAAAAACAATGCCAAAANTTTTTTTTTTTTTTTTTTTTTTGACAATACGGTTAAAACAAAATAAAACTGTTAATTGTCAAAAACTGTCCTACCCTGCCAAATTATAAAGTGCTTAAACATATTTTTTGAGTGCTTGAGAATTGCTTTAAGGGTGCTTATTTTTTATGAATAATTTGGCTACGCACCCTGATTAAAAATATTAAAACAATTAAACTTCTGGTTTTCATTTTATCCAGTATGTTTGATGTTTTACTTTTTGGTACCCTTTCCCTTCCCTGTGTCACAAACCATCATAACATTAAGAATCCAATTCCTACCCTTCAGCTGTGATATTTATAGTAACCTCTAAGATTATGAATTTATCTATGCATACATGTATATAATTTAAAAAAAGAAAAATTTTCAACATTTTAAATTTTTAATTACAAATTTAAGTATAACCTAAAATATAATATTTGTTTTATTCTGCATTTAGTAAGTTTCATTTTAATTATTTTTTTTCCAATAATGTATTTAAATCATACAATTTACCTGTATTACATCAATATAATCGTATCAGTATACTGTATAATTGTAGATAACTGTTAAAAATCTATAAATTTGATAAATTGTTGGCATCTTAAGATAAATAATCATATACTTGGGAAATTTCAGAACATTTTGATGAGAGATATTGCATTAAAAAGTTTACCACTTTTTTTTTAAATTGGATAATTTTTACATCATTTATAATCATTAAATTAAGTATCACTCATTGTTACAGATAAGTAGCATTTTTGATTAAAAAAAATTTTTGTTATATATACATAATTATTAAAATTCTAATATTGTATTGATTTATTCATAAAATAAGTTAATACACTGTGAAAAATATAGTACAACATGAATTTGAAAAAAGATTTTTGTGTTCTAACCATTTTCTATTTTATTATATCAAAGATAAATAAAACGGTGTAATGTTTGAACATAAATTTTTATAAACATTAAAAGACATGTTAAAATTATCAAGATATCCAGCAAGTCTATTTGAAACATAAGCCTGTATAAAGATAAATTTTTTGCTCTATTACTTTTACAAAATAAGCTTGCAAATTATTTTTCATTACGTAATATTCTGTTTTTAGTTGTTAAACTATTCTTAATTGCAAGGTTAACCTTCCAAGAAATCTGGATAGAATTCTACTAATATGTCTCTTCTGCATTCTACTTTTACTTTTGAATGATGTGGAAAAAACTGGTTTATTTTTTTTATCATTATTATCTTGTGCATTATCCGACCATAACTGAAAGTTCAAAAAAGAAAAATATGAACCTTGTTGATTGTTTTGATAATAAGTAATTTTAGATAGCTCTTTCAGCCAAGTATTTTCGTCCAACATCACTTTAGGAAACGTGGAACAGCACTTCCTCAAACACAGCATTGATCCTGCTGAAGGTCTTTCAGAGGTGTCTTTCCACACCGACCTCCTGGTTGCTGTCAACAAGCAAAATGATCGCCCTGCTGTTCTTAGACAAGCAGCACTAGAGAGAATCTTCACTATCCCAACGGAGGCTGTTCATTTATGTACGGATCAAAACTCAGATGAGCTGAATTCAAGATCCAGAAAAGGAATCCCGACCACTGTTCCGTTTTTAGGAGTGAGCTTATCACTATTGATGATGGACTTGCCTCAATACTGTCTCTTTCAATTCCGAAAGAGATTTGGGTCCTTACCGACAGTAGAAGCGCTGTTCAGCACTTGGCTAGCTGGCACAGAGTGAGGAACAATACTAGCATGAACATCCTTTATAAACTTTTACGTCTCTCCAAATATTGTCGAATTCACGTACAATGAATACCCTCATACGTAGATATATCAGGCAATGAAATGGCAGATAGTCTTGACAAGGCAGGTGCAGCTGAAAGCCACTGCGCCTCCAGTGTCTCTTACCTCCTCAGAATTCTTCTCCATTGCTAAAGCCAAAAATAAATCAGCATGGCTCACTCCACCCAGTCACAATTGGTACCAGACCGGGTAGCTGTTTGACAGCTGACAAAGACCGTCATTCTCAAACTGCCATCACACATCTCCGCTGTGGACACCTGAATTCACTAAGGTACTCTGGAGGAGAAAAGTGTTTTGCCCTCTGTACCAAGTGCTCTTCGGCCCAGGCATCCCTTGAACATCTACTGGACTGCCTCGGTCTTTTAAAACAAGACCTTATAGAAAGACCCTTACTTGTTTTAGAATCTTTGAAGGTGAACAAACTCATGGACCTTGTCTAGCTAGGCTAGAAATGGGGATTTGAAAGAAGATAATTTTGTTTAAAACAATTGTCTTTTTCGAGTAATCTGGTCAAAAAAATTTCACAAATTAGAATCAGATGTATTTGTAAAACGTCAATTTTTGTAAAGCCTTGTTTGCATCTAACTCATATGTCATACAAATTATTTTCAAGATCTTAATTTTTTTTCTATTTATAGGAAGAAGATTTTGAAGGATTCACCTCTGATGATGTGGCGGAAGCAGAAGCTGCATTGGCACTCAAACTTACTGAGAAACAAGCAGTGCAACGTTACTTGTCGTCCACTAGTGATCCACCATCAGGAGCGTCAGATATTGAAAAATTATTTTCTGCTACTGATTCTGATGCATCAAGTACATCATCTATTCGACAAAAAAGAGGAATGCGGGACATTGTGCGCAAGTCTTATGACAAAATGATCAAAGAAGGACTTTGTAAATCTGTAAATAATAATAGTGTAGCTAAGGATAAAGTAAATGTAACTCTTAAAAACCCTGTAAAAAGTGACAATCAGACTTGTACAGATCTTGAACACTGTTCCAAACAAATTGCTATTGTAAATAATCTACAACCAACTGGCAACAATTTCAATTCTGATGCTTCAAATGATTTACCTACTACATCACAGAAAAAATCTATTGTAAAGCGCTTGTTAGAAAATGTTAAAACAGCCAAAACAAGGGGTAGGCATAAAAAAGTAATGCAACCTAATGTTAAAAAGAAATTAAGAAGACATTTTGGATATTCATCAAAAAAACATTCTCATTTAAAGAAGAGGCTAATCTCATCAACTGTAAGGGATCATAAAAGCACTTTGAGGAACAGAACCTTCCCGAAAAATAGATCTGCATTTCCCAAAACTAGTCATGGTTTTGAAGGTTCATCTCCAGATAACTCAAGCGTAAAAATTATGAAAGATGAAACTAAACTTCGATCAAAAAGAACTAGGCAGCCTGGTGTTAAAAAATTTGTACTTCCGCCAAGAAGTGCTAGATCTTCCAGGAAAATTATTCCACGTAAAAGGTATGCAGATGATGCTGAGATGGGTCTAAAAAGAGAAGATGAAGAAAGTCAGTGCTCTAGGTCGTCATTTAGTGGTAGTTCAGAAACAACTTCAGCTATGGATGGTGGTAGCAGTCCTGATGACTCTCAAAATGAAGATATGTCTGAACTGAAATGTAAGGGGAAGAAAGTAGGTTTGTTAGATAGACCTCTTGTAGTTGAGGGTAAAAGACCTTGGAAACCTAGTCTTAAAGTTCAAATGAAATTATCTGAAATGAATTATGAACATCCATTTGCTCTTAAAAAAAGTGGAGATGGAAGTTCTGGCACCAATACTTCATCTGGGTCTTTCAAAGATATTATTAAACCTGATATGGTTAGCAAGTATGCCGAGAAAATGGCTCAAAAACCCAAAGAAAAACCAGTAAAACCTCTTGAAAGCTTCAAAAAGTATGTACCTCAGTCTGCAAGAAATGACGCTGGCCACTCTGAGAAAGACTGTGATGAAAGTGATGATAAAAAACCAGAAGATAAATTGGAAAAAGTAGCTGCTAAAATTGAAAAACTTTTAAAATCACAATGGGAAGGTCGATTAAAAGATTCCACTGTACAACCTAACAATTTGTCAACAAATTTAGTATCTGCAGTAACTCAGTGGAAAAATGAGCATCACCAACGCTCAAGTAATCAACGAAGGACTAAAAATATTATCCGCAAAGCACGCTTACAATTAAAGAAGAAAAACTTGAACCTTAGAACTCGTAAGTTAGTTAAGGACTCCAGTGAAGTTGTTGCCGATGGTAAAGTAAATTCAAAGACTGCAAAAAATATTGCTGATCCAGTTATATCAGTTTCAACTGATCCAAAAGAAGTGCCTTTGAAAAGTATGTATTTCAGTAGTTTTTTTGTACCTTTCTTAATAACGCAATTTATAGTTTTTATTAGGTATGCAAGAGCATTCTTAATTAAGAAATTTCATTTTTTTTTTTTTAAATTAAAGGATTACGTAGACAAATCTATTGTGAAATCTTAGAACCTGAAAAATATTTATATATATGTGTAAAATAAGTTTTCTATTAAAACAGGGTTGGGTTTTTGGACGTCCTAAACTGGTTTTGGACAGGACACGTGGGTTTTACTGTCTTAAACTGGGTAAAACTGTCTTAAAGTGTCCAAAACCTGGAACTTTGGTAAAAGATAAAAATTCTATAGGTGTAATCATTGTACACATAGTAATTGCAAGTATCAATAAATATTTGATATTTTTTATACTATTTATTTTAACTTATTAAAGGAAAATAGTATAATATAATAGGAAAAGGTTTATAATTTTTGAAGCTTTACAACTCATTGAACAACAAAAGTGAATACCTAATCCTTTAAAAATAAATATGCCTTTAACACTGATAAATAATGTTTTTGCATAAAGATAAATAATGCAATTATAAAAAATAATTTTTTTTAAAAAGTACTAAATTTGTTTAAAAATGAACCTTATATATTTCACAATATTTTTTTTTAAAAATTTTATCATTTTGACATCACAGGATGATAAAACAGACATTTATTTGCAAAAAAATTGTTTTTAAATATAAATATATTAGTCTTAATTGGAAATACAGAATAACTGAACAATGTATTAACAGTTTTGAAGGGCATAACATCAGTTTCACTGGTGATGTATCACCTGTATGCTATAAGAATTGAACATGAATGAAATAAAAGTATTCTTGAATAGTTGCTATAGATAAATAAACCTGTTTATGACTAACCAAGCACTTAGTTCCTAATAGCTTAAGCTAATGACAAGGTCAAACTTCAGTTACGTACATATAAATGAAAGGACCAATTGAACTTGATTACGGATTAATCTTCTTTTGTTTATGTTTAAATTGAAAAGTCAAACAATATTAATAAAACATTATACTTTTGAAAACAAATATTCTCTAGTAGATTTAATTATCAATATGTTATTAGTTCTATGTTTATTTTACCTCTNGTGAATACCTAATCCTTTAAAAATAAATATGCTTTTAACACTGATAAATAATGTTTTTGCATAAGGATAAATAATGCAATTATAAAAAATAATTTTTTTTAAAAAATTTTATCATTTCGACATCACAGGATGATAAAACAGACCTTTCTTTATTTACAAAAAAAAATTTTTTAAATATATTAGTCTAAATTGGAAATACAAAATAACTGAACAATGTATTAACAGTTTTGAAGGGCATAACATCAGTTTCACTGGTGATGTATCACCTGTATGCTATAAGAATTGAGCATGAATGAAATAAAAGTATTCTGGAATAGTTGCTATAGATCAATAAACCTGTTTATGACTAACCAAGCACTTAGTTCCTAATAGCTTAACCTAATGGCAAGGTCAAACTTCAGTTACGTACATATAAATGAAAGGACCAATTGAACTTGATTACTGATTAATCTTCTTTTGTTTATGTTTAAGTTGAAGAGTCAAACAAAATTAATAAAACATTATACTTTTGAAAACAAATATTCTCTAGTAGATTTAATTATCAATATGTTATTAGTTCTATGTTTATTTTAACTCTTAAATATTGTTCAGATAAAATTGTGACATAATTTGAATAAAAGGGTTTTAGACAGTTTAAGACAAAGGTGTTTTGGACAGGACGGTTTAAACCGTGGATTAATCCGTTCTGTCCTAAACCTTGCCAACCCTGTATTAAACCATTTTAAGTAAAATTTCCTCAATATTTTTCCTCTTTTTTTTTTCCAGGCTTGTTTAATTTTGAAACTTTTAATTTCAGGTGCCCCTCTTTCTCAAGAGCCAAACTTGAATGTTGGATGTGCTGTGTGTGGATTTTGTAAGATTTTCTCTAGTACAGAAAAACTATATGACCAAGTAGCTTGTGAACCTTGCAATAAATTTTTTGAAAGTTTTGCGAAGTCACCTAAACAGTACTTTTGTTTGAAAGAAGGTAATTTGTCTCCATTGTTCTGGCATAAAAAAAAATCTAAGTACAGTAGGAAACCGATTATCCGAAACGTTCGGGACCATCGCTATTCCGGATAACTGATTTTTCCGTTTTTCTGAATTGCTACAAAAAGCCTTTTTTTTTTTTAATTGTTAAACCCAACTAAAAAAAACAAATAATAATAATTTGGAAATAATCTTAAAAATAAGAAAAAAACGATGAAGTTATACACTAATGATTAGTTCCGAAGTGATGGAATCTTAAAAAAGAAGAAAGGAAAATCTTAGGAGGAAAAAAAAAAACTTTTTTTTTTTTAATGGCGAGAAAATTTATGGAATTTCGTTCCGGTTTTTGGGTTTTCCTGTTTTCTGACTTCCGGATAATGGGTTCTGTACTGTATCTACATAACAAAATAAGGATAGTTACTCCCTGAATTTTTTTTTTTTAATCAACTTATATATTTTTTTTAAGTTACATTTGCTCTTTGCAGGAATGTGCTGTATTGATTGCTCAAAAGAACCATCTCGCAAATTATTAAACGCTAGATGTAAAGCCTGTTGGATAAAAATATGTATGGAAAAATTTACAGTTTCTACACTCTTAAGAAGTCAGCTAATCAAATATGTGCCACGATTAGATAGTCCACCTCATAATCCTCTAGTCAAAGGTTAGTGTAGTTGTTTGTATTATTCGATTTTAAAAGAAATAGTTTTCCTTAGCTCGTCTAATTAATGCAATAAATGTCTTGTTGTTAAGTGTTTGTTATTTTAACTGTCAATTTTGTATGTTTTTTTTTATCTTTAATGAAATATTTGTATTATATTAGAAATTTAATAGTATGCTAGGGCTAATCTAGATAAAAATTTAGTCCGTTAATGGACATTTCATATAATTCCAAGCTTCTAAAAACAGAACGGTAATATGTTATAATTGTATAAAGATATAGTTTTTCATGAAAATTTTGTAAATAAGACTAGTTTTTAACAAGAATAATTTTCGCACAATGGTATTAACATCTGATCTGGTGAATATAGGACTAAATAATATATTTATTTTAGTTTTTTATTTATCTTAGATTACATAATAATAGAAGAAAATAGGTTTTGTAATAAATAAATAAAAATTGGGCTTAAATAAAATTCAGATAAAAAGTTTTGATTTCGTTAATGAAAGTTTTGTAATTGTTGAATGATATTCTATGAATTAAAAAAAATTATAATAGGTAGTTCTTCCTTAATTCAGTAACTTAAAAGAAAAATGTTATTGATTTAAAGGTGCAGGGAAATAGTATATACTTTATTTAATTTTCAATTTTCCATAGATACCGTTGCCTTTTTGCAAGACCCTGTAACATTTACAGATTTAGCAAGATTTGCTGAAGGGGAGGAAGAAAGTGATCATGAGAATCCTACGGATAAACCTCTTCCGCTATCCATTGATGCAAAATTACCTGTTACTAGTGCAAAACAATCAACGAACTTCATAAGAGAGACAAGAGCTCGCACCAAACGTGCCTCTGAAAGTGCTGCTAAAGATCCAAAACTGACTGAGGGGTCTGGCAATGTTCCATCACCAGTAGTCGAAGATGCATCATTGTCAATGAAAGTTTCAAGTGATATTTCAAGACATAGTGTTTTAAGTTTGGAAAAAAATCTGTTAAATCAAAGCTCACATAAAATTGGTATGGTATCTGAAACACCTCAAAGCCTTAGTTCAGATGTTACTAGCACAGAAGTTAAGCAGGGTAAATCAAGTAAGTGTATGTAATAGATGCGACTATTGTGATGGTGATGTGCTGCATTACTTTTTCCTATACTCCTTCACTATTCTATAACTTAATTTCCCTTTTATGTACAGAATTGTGGCATAACTACCACTATAAATATTAAATACCAAATCACTAGTATATAAGACATGTTAACTCGATTCTATCTTGAGGTACCTTTTGATAGTAGAAGGTTGACATAGTCATTAATTAATTCCCTTAAAGTAACTATTTCTCGACTGTTTGCATGTTAATGTGTTTCTTTGAGGTTTGAAATTTTAGTTTTAATTTCTCTCTCTNTTTTTTTTTGCTTTGCTTATTTCCTTGTTTAACATTATTAGTTTACACATTTTAGTTTTGGTTTTATATATATAATTATTGACAGTCTGTGAAGGGTTTCTCTTTTGCACACCCCTCCACTTGTGCAGGTTATTGTTGTCCCCCCCCCACACACACACACACACTGTTTTATTATGATTCTGATGTATATTACTGATGTGATTAATTGTATAAAATTATTTGCCAGTAAATTAGCATTTCAAAGTCTTAGCCAAAGGCAAATCTTAACAATTTTTTTATGATTAATTTTTTCTTATGGAAAACATCAAATCAAAATACAAATTTAATAAAAATTTTACTATTTTCTAAAATTCAAATTAAAGAGTCATTTACAATTGGGTAGGAGTAAATGAGCAAGGAATGGAAAAGAAAATAAAGAAATTTAGTTCTTTTATCGTCTTTGAAGAAAAGAAATAGGTGGGGGTTAATTTTTGATAACTTCTTAATCGCTTATATTAAAATTTAAAACAGTGACTAACGCTTAACCAATCAGAAAATTACATTTCGTTTTTCACTCATCCCTATTTAATTAATGAATTAATATTTGAAAAAACTGTGATAACATCAAGTGTCATCCACTACAATTTTTAAAAATTTATTTGAACTTGAATGGATCAGGGTTGGGGTTTTGGACGTCCTAAACTGGTTTTGGACAGGTTACTGTCTTAAACTGGGTAAAACTGTCCTAAACTGGGTAAAACTGTCCTAAACTGGGTTAAACTGTCTTAAAGTGTCCAAAACCTTGAACTTTGGTAAAAGGTAAAAATTCCAACCATTGTACACATAATAATTACATGTATCATTAAATATTTGATATTTTCTATACAATTTACTATAACTTATTAAAAGAAAATAATATAATAGGAAAAGGTTTATAATTTTTGAAGCTCCACAATTCATTGAACAACAAAAGTGAATAACTTTTGTTGTTCTGTGAATAACCTTTAAATATAAATATGCTTTTAATGCTGATAAATAATATTTTTGCATTAGGATAAATATGGCAATATTAAAAAAATAATTTTTCTTAAAAAAAATACCAAATTTGTTCAAAAATTAACCTTTTATTTTTCACAATATTTTTTTTTTTTAAAAATTTATAATTTCTGCATTACAGGATGATAAAAAAGACATCTATTTATAAAAAAAAATGTTTTTTAAATTTAAATATATTAGTTTAAATTGAAAATACAAAATAACTGAAAAATGTATTAACAGTTTTGAAGGGCATAACATCAGTTTCAGTTACTGACACTGGTGATGTATCACCACTATGCTAAAAGAATTGAACATGAATGAAATAAAAGTATTCTTGAATAGTACTATAGATAAATAAACCTGTTTATGACGAACCAAGCACTTAGTCCCTAATATTTTAACCTGTATGGCAAGGCCAAACTTCAGTTATGTACTATTGAATGAGAGGACCAATTGAACTTGATTACTGATTAATCTTCCTATGTTTAAATTGAAGAGTCAAACAATATTAATAAAACATTATACTTTTAAAAACAAATATTCTCTGGTATATTTAATTATCAATATGTTATTAGATCTATGTTTATTTTGCCTCTTAAAATAGATTTAGATAAAATTGTGACATAATTTGAGTAAAAGGGTTTTGGACAGGACACGGTTTAAACCGTGGATTAATCCATTCTGTCCTAAACCTTGCCAACCCTGGAATGGATGAATAAAAAGTGTTTTATTAATGATTGAAAATTTGAACAAGATATAGGGAGAGTGTGAACTAATACTAGGAATTGAAAAAGTAACATCTCGAATATGTTAAGCTGTGTTAATGTTTTATAAACTGAGATCTACTGTATTGCAGAAATTATATTACTAAACTTGATTATTATAATATTTGCTCATTAAAATATTTTACATAATCAATTCAATATTTTTCAAAGGGTTTTATATCTTTCTAGTATATTTTAAAATGATGTTTGCATTTAATAATATTTTTTAATTAGGGCACATTTTTTCTTACTTATAGATATAGAAGAATCTATAGATTCTAAAATAGAAGGAATACCCCGAGGACCAAGAATAAAACATGTTTGCCGAAGAGCTGCTATTGCTTTAGGGTTACCGAGAGCTACATTTCCCAAACAAAATGAACCAAAGGAGGCATTTAATTTGAGTGCTTTACCACAAGAAGAAAAACAAAGAATCCTTGATGCAGTTCCTGCAGAAGAAACTGTTAAAGTATCATCTATTGAAATGGGTATTTATTATAAATTTACAATTAATATTTCAATATTTTATTACATGACATAAAATTAATTTCTTTTTATATCTAAAGTCAAACTTTTTCACGTGGTTTTTCAAAGTTCTGTCACCAAGGGAAATAAAAATAAAAGCCTCAGTTTAAGTGCCTTACACTTGAGAAAAACGATTATTTTGAACTGTCTAAATCATCTTGCCGTGAAGAATTATCTGGACTTTAGAACGGCTAAATAATTTTAAATATTTTTTTCTAAGTTATTAAACTTTTTGAAAAATTACTATTTTGGCAACATTTTTCACCTAAAGGAAAATAATCAGAATCACTGCCTAATTCTCACTTTTTACAAATTTTTTTGAACCCAGATAATGCAGCATTAAAGTAGGGTTTTTCAATATTAAAAAATTAGACCACAGACTTCTTTCATTTCCACAAAACTTTACTGATATGACACACGAATTGTAGTTCAAATATTTAAAAAAAATTTCAAGGTGTATTAATATCTTATTTGAATTAGGTATTTAATCTTAACAAATAATTTTTACTTAAAAATTAAATTCATAAAATTATATTGCCTCCAGGTATAAAATTATACATTAATAGATATTAGGACAAATTTAATAAATTAACATTCTCTGTTGTCATTTTGAATTTTATTTTGCCTACCTCCACCATCTCGGAAAAAATTAGTTTCTTCCAAAAAAAATGCCCAACTCTGATTTAAGGCTAGTGTTTTATATCTGTTTTTAGAAGGCTGTATCGTCATTTGAACTGTTGTGAGTTAGTTAACAGTGTTCGTGACTGTTATTTGTAAATTTAGCCTGCACCCTCTGCTTTAATTCTGAAAATAACATAAAATGTACATAGAAAAAAGCACTATTCAGTGAAAATGAAAATTGTTAAGTGTTTTAATTTTTTAACAGTTACTGTAACGATGCATTGTTTAGGTTCATTGTAAAGTTTGTTGCCAAAATTGAGAATTATTGATTTTAATGATTTTTTTCTTGATAAAACTAAAAAAAATTTTAAAAAAAGTTTAATAATTTATATTTAAACTAAACTTTTTTCCTGACAATTATTTTCAGCTATTTAGTAAATACGAGTTAAAATTGAAACTTTTTATTCCTGTATGCAAAGAGTATGTTTTTTTTATTTTGCGTTGCAAATGAGAGTACTTCAAAGGAGTGTTTTAAATGTAACTATCCTATATAAAGGATTAGTGAGGCTATATTTCCTTTTAATTTCAAAGATGTTTTCTGAGGCTCCTTTTGTGAAAGAAGTTGGAATGCTCTATTTCAAAGCAAGGCTGAAATTTAAATATCTAATATTAACTTGCCATGCAAAATTATCCAGGCTTTAAAATGGACAAAAAAGTTCAATATTTTGAACATTGTTCAACTTTAAAAAATTTATATATATNTTAGTGAAAAATTATTAAAATCAATGAGGTAATTTGAAATTTTGCATATTATGTACCCAGACAATGCTATGTTGGTATGACTTTTCAAACATTACAAAATTACATCACAAACACTTCTTATTTTTTATTAACTGCGGCTTTTCCTCATGATTTCATTTTTCCCCTTTTCCATAATTAGCATATAAACTGTTGGTTAAAGTTAGATAAAACTATTAATATTTAAATTTTTATAACTATCTAAATTAAGCATTAATTTTTTTTTTTTTTGTTTAGTTGCTCCTGAAGTGAAAGTTTCTCCCGTCAAAGTAAAGAAAGAACCAAATAAACGTAAAGCGCACAAATCTGTTAAGCTGAAAAACCAGATGCACTTAGATTTGTTGAAAAAATCATCGCTACTGTTCCAGAAAGAACAAAAAAGGAGAAAGCTGTTATTAAAAAAATCTATGAAACATTTACACAAACATTCTTTTAAAAAATCCCTAAAACTTGGTAGAAGAAGTGAAATGAAAAAGACACTGAAATTCTCCTACAAAAGTGCAGTAAAAACTACATCAGTCAAAAGGTCTCAAAGAACATCTACTAAAAAGTTGAGAACTGGAAAGTTACGCAAAGTTCGATGCAAACAGTGTGAAGGCTGCCTGGCAGATGACTGTGGAAAGTGTGCTTATTGCTTGTAAGTTATACCTTTTCTCTTGCCTAGCTTTATAGATAAGAGAACAAAAATAAAAGATGCTTTTATTATATATTAAAATATTATATCCATTTTAAAATGTTATTATTTTAATTAATGACATTTTTTGCTTTGATTTCCTTAAATATAAAAACTGATGAAAAATGCTAAATTTGAAAAAGTATCTGCATTTTTTGCATTATGTAACAAACTTTGTATGAATTTCTCAAAATTGGTTTTAGAGATTGTTTTATGAGCATTAATCTGATCTATTTCAGATTTCACTAACTATTTTAAAAATGTTTCCACCAATCTTAAATAAGTGCATTTTTAATTATGTTCTTTATACTAAAATAAACTATTTCTAAATAATTTTAGACAATTTTATTACATTTCTAATGTTGTGCACGTTTTGCTGATTAAAATCCAAGCCATTAAAGGTGGTTATTTATTACTGTCAAATTTATCACCAAAGTATTGGTTGTCTAATTTTGACTGTATTTATATTCTAAATAATATTCCTTAATTATCATTGGTAGTGTATCCAGAATAAAGGAAAATTTAACTGAAGAGCTTAAAGAAAATTTTTTAGACATTTTACATGTATCTTTTTGTAATTCAATATCTTCTTCACTCATCGAAGATATATTTCATTTATAAAATATAACTTAAGCTTGCTTTTATTTTTTTTTTTTTGCTTGCTTGCAAATTATTTATTCATATGATAACGTATTTTTCTGGTGGTGACTAGGGCAGGGTTCATTCTAGACTAAGAAAAAGGACAGGGTACTAAAAATTGAAAAGGGCACTATACGTTAAAAAAAGGGACAGCAAGTTTTAAAAAGGGCATTGTATTTTATAAAAAAGGCAGATACACTAGCCTTCTTTGCATAATTTAAATGAATAATTATGTATAAGTTTACTTATATCACTTTTCACAGTTACTATTATTAAATGCGTAACTATGATTCTCTGAGGAAAAAAGGCTACAGTTTGAATTGAAAAAATAGAAGAGAGAAAGTCAAACAAAGTTTTTTTTTTTTCCTTTATCTCAATATTTTTTAGTTCACTAAAAATATATTTAAAATTTACACATACCTTTGAAAGACCTGGGGAAACAATTGAAATTTTTCAAATATGTCTTTCGTTCTCGAGTTGATGATTAGAATAACTATTGATGATTAGTATCGAGTTGATGATTAGTATAAACGAAATTGCTATAAGCGCCAAAATAAAGACCAAATTTCTATAATAACGAGAGAGGAAAAATAATTTAATTAAAAATCAAGAAGTGTCATATTTAAGTATATAGAAAGTACGACATAGAGTTATCGATTGGCGTGGTAATTGTGATAGTATCGAATCAAAAACCTCAGTTGAAAAATATCCTCAAATAAACGAGTTACTATTAAAGAAGGGAAAAAACTATTTCTTCATCTATCAATTTATTTAGTTCTATTTTAAACACGCGGCCAAATTAAAGCTGTGTTGTGATCATTCAGAAAAAAAGAAATTCCGAATAAGACTTGTTAATCTTATTAATTTTTTTTTTCGATATGTTTAAGGTACAAGCATGCAGCTATAATGCTGTAAATGAATTTATTACAATTAAATGAAGGAAAGTTTCGCATTTAAATTTACCGACATAATTACATCACTCGGAATGTATGGACATGTCACAGAGTCGTCGTCATCGATTATCGCAGCACTTGTGATAGTGTCAAAATAAAAACCTAATATTGTTCAGTTAATGAGTAAAAAAATCCTAAATGTGTGAAAAAGTTTCCTATTCAAATTAGCTTATCTAGTGTCAATTAGGATGAACAGTCGAACAAAATAATAAGAAAGAAAATAAATAAATAATAATAATAAAAACGATTAATTTAATTAAGTATGCTTCATCTATAAATAAATTGTATGCTTGATTCAACCTTTATGAGGCACAGTCATACCTTTGCACACACTAGTAATAGTATAAACAAACAAATTAATGAAAAAATTGACTGTTAAAACAAATTCTATTGAAAGCTAGTGCTAAGCGATATTTTAAAGAGTAAAAAATAAAGACGGATCTGTTTATACTCCTGGCAGCTTGCCAACAAAGAATGAGAAAGTCTTAAATTTAAGACTTAGTATGTATATTAAATATATTTAGTCCGTAAAAAATATCAAAGATATATAAAAAAGAACGGAATAAAAATTATCGTTTGCCATTATAAATTCTTAAAATAACTTGTAATGAAACATAACTTGAAACTTCTAGACCTTTGAACTCCGGATCACGGTTGACGAAAAATCCGGTAATCCAGATTTTTTCCAGAGCACAATCATCTCTGTTTTTCTTTTTTTTTTGTTCTCCCCCAAGCGCAGCACCTGATAGGCACTTCCCTACTGAAAGATTTATTTTTTTTAGAGAAATGTGGTAACTATGAAGGACAACCGGGTCTTTACCTGCACAGTAAAGCAGAAAGGCCCTTATTATTACTGTAAGAATTGTATTCTGTCATTGTAAAAAAAAAGTTTATTTTAAAATTAATATTTTTTTGTTTTCTTTTTTTGGATAAAAAAGCTTTTTTATTCCGTAGTTAATTGTCTAAGCCCCTCCACTTTTGAAATTGAAGGTAAAAATTTATTTCTTCCTTCAAAGGAATAAAGCTGAGCAGAAGGGGGTGGAGAGCTCCAAAAGATACAGGAGAATGTATTACTTTTTTAATGACCTGGTTTGACCCCTAAAATTGTCTACAGGCTTTGTGCACAAGATTTCTTCCCTTAAGAAATTATTTCCAAGAAAACTCTTGGTGGGTCTACTGACCTTCACTATTGCAATATGGTTTCTTAAAATAAGCAATACTTCCATTAATAAGAAAAAGAAATTTTTCTAAAAGGAGAAAATAGGAACTCACACAGCTGCAGGAGGGGTTGCATTCCTTGATAGGTGGAACTTCTTGGAAGATCTCTTATTTAAACTACTAACTTCAAGTGGAAATAGTAAAGAGGGGGGAAAGGGAGCATTTCAGAATCTCATTTACCCGTAGCTATTGAGCTAGAGGGAAGACAAGTTAATTTCAAGAAAAGTATCACTAAGTGGGGGGACAGAACAAAAAAATTCTTTCTTGCAGGAAGATAGGATCTTTTTGGAGGGGGCTCACCAGGACTGAAATTCCTCATCAAAAGGGCATACGGGGCGGGGCACCCCTTAAATCCCCTCCTAGAATGAATCCTTGACTAGGTAAGAAACCTACCCAGTTTCAAATTGATGGGTCTGGGAAGGGCATGTGAAAAGTGCTGGAAAGTAATGCTAACCCTTGGTGGTCATGCTGCTAAACTCAAAATTGTGGAGCTTGAATGGTCATCAACTGGGTATTGTGGTAGTACTTAAAATTTTTGTAGAAGTTTTTTATGTTAGTCTTTTAATAATAATGCTATCTACAAGTATCTATGTTAGATGTTGTTTCAAGAGTCTAATTTGAATTGAGAATTAACTGTTCACGTATGTAAATTTTTAATGTGGCTTACTACTTCATCTGAGTAGCCAACTCGCATTTCTAACCTTATGCAATCTTTACTGAATGGAATCTATGCCATTAAATATGGTCACATATTACTATCAAATTGATCACCAATTTAAATATGGGTTGTCTAAATTTGACTGTATCTATATTCTAAATAATATTCCATAATATCTTTGGTAGTGTCTCTCAAATAAGTGGCAAATTTAAACTGGAGAGCTTAAAGGAAATATTTTAGATATAGCATATATCTTTTTATACTACAATATCTTCTTTACTCATAGAAGATATACTTCACTTATAATATGTAACTTAAATTTGCCCTTTTTTGAAAAATTAAAATTAGTTTATATGTTAACAAAATTCAAAATATTTTTCCAGTGGTGACTAGGCTTGAAGCCCACCCAATTTCAGATTGATAGGTCTGGAGGGTGCGTAGAAAGCAATTCTTATCCCTTGTTGGCGATACTGCTGATTTCAAAATAATAGAACTTGAATGGTCATCAACTGGCTATTGCAAATGTTCTTAAAATGTTTATAGAAGTTTTTGATATTAATCTTTTGATAATATTACTATCTACAAGTATCTAAAATTTGTTAGATTTTGTATGAGCTTAACTTGAATTGTGAATCGACTATTTAACTATGTTAATTTTTGAAGAAACAGTGGCTAACTAAACTTTTATTTGTGTAGTCAGCTCGATTTTTAGTATCCATTCAGGTTGCTGTTAAATATAGTGTTTGTGTAATTTTGTGGGGTATGACTCAGAAATTTATTTCTGGTATTAGATTGAAGTACCTTATTAAATTATTAGTTATACACTTATTTATGTTAATATAGACAAAAAAATAGTCATTAGTTTTATAACGTCAAACAAGGTTTTATTTTAAATTTTCTTTTTCATTTAAAGAGGTTAATTATTGTCCAGTTTCTTAAATTTCTTTTTTTTCCTCAAGTTTATTATGTATCTGTTTTCTATTAACTTATAAGTCTGCTTTTCTTTCCCCCCCCCCCTTTTTTTGTCATATTGTTTTTTGTTAAAGGGAAGATTTTGTTACCTTCCCAAATTGTAAAATATTTAACCTACATGACATTAACTCTTCATTAGAAAAATGAATCTGTTTCAATGAATTGATTATCTTTTTATGTTTGGCATTCATTTAAAAATACATTTTGTTTATTTAACTTAAAATATATGATTTGATTACTTAAAAGGATGGAGATAATTTAAATTTCTGTGTGTATTTTGATTTAAATAAAAAATTATACAATAACTGAAAAAAAATCCCTTTTGTTTCGAGTACTCCTGCAATTAGATGACTTGTTATTTGTATACTTTATGCTATTCGATAAAACCGTGTGTTTGGCGCAGCATGTCCTCTCTCGATCTTGTGCCATTAAATCCTATATTCAATTTAATTCAATCAATTCTTTATTCTTTTCGAAGTTAGAAAAATATTATGTAGAATTTAATTCCTATTCCAAATTTTCTTGTAGAAGAATTTTTTTTTTTTTTATGTATAATAAATCATGTGAAAATGTGATTTTAATTTGTCATACAATTGTTTAATTATCTTAAAACATTATAAATCTTCAAAATTTTAAGTGCAATGATAAATTTTTTTTTTAAGATTCGGTTTATCTTTACTTTAAATAAGTCATTTTTTTATTATTTTACATTTGTATATATTTTCGTTATCTCTCTTCATTATTTGTTTCCAAACTTATTCATTTTTGTAAATAAATATACCTTAAAGTAAATTAAAATTGTTTTCTATGATGTATTTTAATTAACTTGTTTTACATTATATATTCTAAATTTTATTCCTCTAGATTTTTTTTATTATTTGTAGATGATTTATTTTATACTTTTATAAACTAAACTTTTATATGCATGCATAAATGTATTTTATATGTATAACCAATTTGTAATTTATTTTTGTGTTTTGTCTAATGTACTTTTACTGTTTCATGCATTGGTAATCAAAATATTTTTATACATTTGTTTTGTTATTTCTACTTAGAAAATAAACTTAATGTTCAGATGTAAATGTACGGTTCTTTTATTTGATTTCAATCTACACTAATAGCAACTGCATTAAATAATGAACATAGTTGCCTACTAATGAACATTTGCTAGCTGCTATTAATCTAATCGAAAGTTCCATTTTTTTAAAATATATGTATATATTTCTCAAAATTGAGAGTTTCTAAAAATTATCAAGATAGACTTTTTTACAGTTAATTGTTTGAGTAGTTAAACATATTGCTGTTAAATAATAAAATAAGTCTCAGTTTTAGTTATTAATTGAAGCTTTTACTTTCCCTTTTTAAATATTTTTTTTTTAAAAAATTCATATAATTCAAAACTTTTAAGATTATTACAACTGTCTAAAGTGACTTAAATATCATTTGCCTTTCAGAAATATTATTAATACATTATGTATTGAAATCCTTTACTATAAAAATATCCCAAACATTTTCCGCATTTAAAATATAACAGCTATTTTTACCTATAGCTATATTCTACAACCCTTGTGGAGTCTTGATCTTCTTCAATATTTTGGATCCTTCTTTTCTTATGTTTTTTTTTCCATTGTAGTTTACAATTTTTTCCATTGTAGTTTCTAAATAATTTCAAGCTGTCTTCTGTGTGCTCTTTTCGTCTCGACCCTCCTTGATTTCTGTCTAATAATCTTAATACTTTTTTCAGAGTCATTTTCTTAATAATTATCTCAATCATTAGATTTTTATTGTTATATCAATGTTGATCTTGCTTATTTTAATTGTTCTAATCCTTCATGTTTATCCTCACATATTTTACCAGAAGTCAATTGTAGAATTTTTTTTCTTATGAGATCATATTCTCTTTTAATTAAAGACCTTGTCTCAGATCTGTGGTTGAATTCAAATCTATTGGTTAAATTATCACTTTATAAGAAAAAAAAATTTAGCTTAAAAATAGTACCTGATAGTTAGAATGATATTTATAAAATTGGATTTATTCCTTTCCGTGCTTGGAAGTTATAAATATTTTGGCAAGATAATGAATCTCTACAGTTAACTAAAAAGTCTTGCATTATCTATTTCATCTAACCTATAGAACAACTCGTTTGAATATCTATTTTTTCCACTACATACATATTACTCAATTTCTAGGCATTAACTATGTCATATTTCTTAAATGTTCAGAAACGCTACCATGATCTCAAATTTATAAAACTTGTTTTTACTGTAAGTTCCTTAAAAATAAAAGAATTTTACTTAGAAAAATCGCTTAGTTTAATAGTTATACTAAAATTAACCACAAAAAAAAACATTCCCGTACTCAGATACATTTTTTAAATTTAATTCAGGATTTAAAAATGAATATAAGTGTATGCTATGTAATCATTAAATATTTAACTGTATAAAAATTGTTAATTTAATATATTAGTGATTTCTAATTTTACTGTTTAAATGCTTTTTATTTATTACAATTGTAATATTAATCTTGGTTATGAAAAGGCTGTCTTGACTAGGATATGTTTTATAGTATGATATATAACGCTTAATTAATTCAATAGTCATTTTATTACTCATATCCTTTATTCTAATTCATCTATTTTTTGTTTTGTCTTTTTAAAATTAATTGAAACAGCTATTTTAATTTAAAAAAATTTCTTAGGAAAGTGATGCCTTTTTTTCAACTTTCATAATTATTGAATCCACAATGTAGTTTTTAAATAGTCTTACAGTAGTACCGAAAGATTGTAATAATTTTCAATTAAAAATCACGTGTAGAATTTTTAGTTATACTGAAAGGAAATATTTATATGCATATATATATTTTTGTACTTTATACATCTTGAGAAGTACCTTAAGTACTAATTAAACAATACTTAAAGGATCATAAATATTTATTCTTAAATTTTTTAAGAAAAAGAGGAAAAATTATGTATGTCATGAGTTAAACATATATTGATTAGTTTCCCCAACTTTTTAAGTGAAATTAAACTATAAATTTTTATCAAATCATTAGAGCTTCAGTTCTAGATTCTTCCAACTGTGAAGTTTAGTTCTAGAATTTTCTGGCTGCTTTACTGTGTGACAAAAGAAAATATGAAGCTTGTCAGTAACTTACAGGGTTGAATTGTTATATGGGTATTGTTACATTTCAGAATAAAGAAAGGTAAAAACTTTGGGAAAAAAATTTGCATTAATTCCATATTGTATTTAAGTAATCATGCTAACTTGAATATTTTTGTGAAAGATTTATTACATAAAACTTATACCAGTTCTTATTTTCTGAATGTAAATATAACTAATTACTATTCTTTTTTTAGTTAGGTGAAATTCATTTTTAATCTGTGCTTCTACTTTTTTTTATGTGCAAAACCATTTTATTTTTAAAAAACTTCCAGTGTGCAGGATTTTTGTGTAGTTAATAGACACAAATTTTTAACTATAACTGAATGCTTTGATAATTTTGTTTCAAGACAGTTTACAATACTCTTAAAGTAAACCATTTTTCTTTACAGAGATAAGAAAAAGTTTGGTGGACCAGACACAATAAAGCAAGCTTGCATGTAAGTTTCTTTTCAGTTTTTATTTTACTAATATAGTTTTTGTCTATTTTACTAATATAGTTTTTTGTCTTTCTGCTGGAAGAAACCCATCTCTTCCGAAGCACTGGGAGAAACCAGACAAAATTAAAGAAAATAAAAGTGACTGCACAGTTGTTAACAATAAGTATTATTAGATTACAAGTAAACAAATTGAATTTAATACTCTACCAGAAAGTTAAGTTTTTCACATCTCTTTTTTTTTCCCTAAAAAAAAAAATAATAATTATTTTCTTGTTAATTATTTTTTAAAAATTTTTAATTTCTATCTTTCTTAAGAAATTCATTACCTTTATTTATCTTGCTTTGTAATTTTCACTTTTTTAAAATGTTTTGTACAAATTTAAATTGATACATTAATTAAACTATATTGCAATTATGAACAGCAAAAAAAAAAAAATTTTAATGATTTTGTTTAATGGTTTTTTTTTTTTAAAAAGGAGTTTCCATCGATGCAGTTTTTTCCACAGTTTTTTCAAGTGTGGAAGAAACTTGCTGTCCCTAGTTTTTATAGACCATATTGCAAGGAAAAGTTGGTTAAATTTTTACTAATTTTAAGTATTAACTAAATTACCATCTTGCACCAACTGCCAATGTATTATACAAATTCAGGGGTTGCATTCCCCCTAAAATTCATAAAATTCCTAAAAGTATGTGCAAACCCTAAAATTCCTAAAAATCTTATAAAATTTTGTTGGTGTTCCTAAAAAATTAGAGTTATAGGCTAAATATAAATAAAAAAGCAATAATCTAAAATATAAGAATTTAACTACATTAATTAAAACTGTTTTAATTTTGCCACATGGGAATTCTGATCCTGAGAGAGGTTTTTCGATAAATAAAGCAATGCTTAATGTGAGTCACCATGAGAATACTATTATGTCTCTTAGACTAATCAAAGATACCATTCGAAATTATGGAGGAGTGTTGAAGATCACCACAACACTATTGAGGGCAGTAAAAGAATCTCACAAATCATANTATAAAACTTTAAAAAGGTTAGTATTAAAACTTACATAGTAGCACACAAAATATTCAATGGTAAAGTTGAGGTTTGTCTGCTGCAACCACCAGAGAATAGATATTTACATTTAAAATTTACAAACGTGTGTGAAAATATTTTCGTCCTAAATGAGTGGTTTCAAAAAGTTAAATGGGAGGATTTCTTCGAGAAAATTTCTAATACACGCTTGCTAAATTATGTTCACAAAATACAAAAAAAATGAAATAAAAAAGAGCAACATACACAATTATTTTTGTATTTGAATAAATATTTTCTTGGATGTAAAACCTGAGAAATAAATTGTTTTGCACCATTGGTATGTTAAATTTCACAGAAACGAAGAAATTAGGTTATTATTAACGAGAAAAGTATTTTAAACCCATATAGATTTTTTACGGAAATTGTTCACAAAAAATGACAGCTAATATATTTTAGTTTGCGGGCCGCAAAAAAGGCTGCGTCTGCCCCCGAGCCACCAGTTGGAAACCCCTGCTATAGCTTATATGTTTATATAGTTAACAAAAAAACAAAAAAAACGGACTGCTATCTTGTTGCAATTATGTTTAATGTATGAATCGATTAAATTTGCATTGTAATTTTTTTTTTTTTTCCTTTTCCTTAGGTATCGCCGCTGTTTACGTCCGGTTTTGCCTGCATCTGAAAGGAAAGGCCCTAAGCAACCAATAGTTGAAGGTACAAGTAAAGATAAACTATCTGGTGATCATTCAAACTTCGGAGGTGATGGACCGTCTGGAATAGGTCTAATGCTTACATCATCATCTAGCTCCCCAACTAGCCCTGACAATAGTAGTTGTGGATCAAGTTGTAGCTCCTCTTCAACTAGCTCCAGTTCTGGTAGCTCTGGCAGCAGCAGTAGTAGCTCTAGTGGGAGTAGCAGTAGCTCTTCCAGCAGCAGTAGTGACAATTTAAGTTTATCTCAAACCAGTACTTTATGTGACAACAATATTAAAACACCATTTCTGCATAACTCGACATTAGGTCCAGATGTTACTCAAAATGTTGACTGCTCTGATGTCAATGTTGTCACCAACCCAGTTTTTCAAGTCACAAATCCAGTATCTTTCTTCAATGAAGAATTTAGGAGTGAGTCTGATTTTGGAGAGTTGGTACATTGTGGTCTTCCTGAGACAAATGAAAAGAAACTCTGTAATGGTACTATAGTAAACAAAGAAAATGGAGACACTATTTTGTACGAGAACTCGTCAAGTATTATTCAATTGAAAAATGCAAGTTATACTCCTTCATTGATGTATGAGGCTGCAATGGGTACTAATGAAAGTAATGTTTCTTATTCTTCCAATAATGGAGGATGTCGAAATCCTAACTCAAGACGTAACAGCAATAATCGTCAGCAATCGCAATATAATCAGGATCAGGTAATTTTACAATATGTTTTTTACTAAAAACATAATATATGATAATGTACTGCCGTCTAAAGCTAAAAGGCAAAATCTCTTAAATGGCAGTGGAGATGCCACCTTTTTAGAACAATCTCATAAAAGAATTGTAATCTAAACATTGAATAACTTAAAATTATTAAATATATTAAAACTTGCTTGTGGTTATAACATAAGGACAAGATTAACTAAATCAGAATGTTTTAAACCCGAGTCAACCGAAAATTTAAAAAATGAAAGCTGCAAGTACAAACATGAACTAAAAACATCCAAGTGGTCCTCTTTTTCCTCCATAGTCAATTTTTTGGAATGAAGCCCCTTATTAACATTTTAATCCTTAGTCCTCTTAGTGCTTAAAATATCATAGCTGATGTCCAATGTTTTAGTATGATTTTACATAACAGCAAAAAACTTAAATGTTTCTTTCCATTTCATTAATGGCTGGTTCCTAAAAATTAGTCCTGACAACAAAAAATGTTCTAATTTTGCAGACTATTGGGAAAGACAATGTGTATTAAATAAGCTGGGTCATTAAACACTTTTCGTTTGAGTGTAGTAAAATGAAATTTAAAAATTGCTCCATTTTCATTTATTTGTTATATTTTATGAATTTGATACTTCGAGATAGGTTAGTCTATTTACCACAAATTATTGATACTACTGCATTAATTAATCATAAAAAAATTTTATCTACAACATTCATTTTAGTGGTTACAAAGGAATGCGTTTCAAACATTTATCAATAAGCCATTTTGATAGACTAAAATAACTAACCATTTAATGTGTGTGCAAATTTCAAGTTTTGCAAAATAGTAAAATCCTATTTAAACCATTGTGATTGTAAAATATCTTAATCTAGATTTTACAAAATTATTGCAGTTCTTTTAAATGCATCATACCGAGACAGCCCAAACTAAAACAAATCCAATTATTTTTGTAGTTTCATGCTCTTGTAGTTTCATGGAAATTTGAAGTACTCTACATGAACTAAATATGTCATTTTGCTGCAAACAGTATAATTGTTTCTACCATTTTAGGATCAGTATGGCTCGGCTGGCTCTGGAGATCAAGATAGCAATGACGAAGATGATGATGGGAATGAAGATAATTACAAAAAACATTTTATTTATGCTGATTATTGGGTAATTAAAAATTGTATTTGTAACTTTTTTTATTGAATTTTCTTACTGTGAATGAATATGCAGGGTTCCCGCGGCCTTGAAAAAGCCTTGAAAAGTACTTGAATTTCATTTTGATTTTCAAGGGCCCCTAGAAGTACTTGAAAATGATATTAAATCCTTGAAAANAGCATGAACCCTGAATATGTCATAAGCTCAAATTTTTTTCCTCAATGAAAGACCACTTAAATAAAAAGACTATATTCTTTAAAAAAATTTTAAAAAGAAATAATGGAAAGGTAATGTTTGTCAACCCCCCCTCCACTTCATTATAAAATTTTCAATGATTTATTTTCTTGATTTGAAATATAGCAACCCAAGCTAAATATTTGTTTTTAACTTATAACCTCAGAAATTTTTTATGCATTTTTTTTTCATCTAATAAGCAATTGAACTGATTAGTTCAGAAACAGGTAATCTACAATGGATTGCTTATAGAGGTGACTTTTTCGACTCATTGATTCAATTGAAGTATTTGAAGAGCTTAGTAGATGAACCAGGTAAGTGACAGTTGCAAAATGTGAATGAGTTATGTGAAGAGTTGCTAAATGTGAATGAGTTATGTGAAGGCATAAGCAATTCTGTTACCTTAAACATACCCATATTGATGCTACCACATTGCTATTTTTTTTCCCTGATTAAAAAATACCACAGAAAGTTTCACTTACCTGCTTCATGCACTAAGCTCTTTATTTGAAAACAACAATATGTTCAAATGATTGCACCTTCACTCATCAAAAGTAAGTCTTTGTTATTTTTCAGATTTCAGTAATATTCTTTTAAAAATCTTTCTAAAAAAATATTTTAACATTTTATTGCTACAACTATGCAATGATTTTGACTCATAAATATAAATTTGCTTTTTTATTTAAACTCTTCACATTAAAAGTGAGAAACCATTTTTTTTTTTTTAAATTAGGGTTAAGAGACTTGATTTTTTGCAATTTTATTTAAAAAAAAAAAAAAAAAAAGCTGTACTTTATGAAAGAGCTCAAAAATAGTGAATGATATGATTTATTAAAATTATTCTAATTTAAGGATCAACCAATATTGGTACCTTCTCAAAAACTTTTTTAAATTAAAGGATTTAACGTTAATGCTTTTCTGCCGTGTCTGTTACCCTGGTAAAAGAAATAACAAATTTAAAAACATATATGGCATAATTTGCAAGTTTTCCTTCTAAGTGTCTTTTTTCAAATGAACCCAGTATATAATAATGTTCCCCAAACAGTTTTGATTATATTATTTTTTAAAAGGACCATATAAAAGGGTATAATACATATAGTTTTGATTGTACAGTAGAGCGCCGATTATCCGAACGTCCAATTATCCGAACCATGTCTGAATTCGCTTCTTCTTCTCACTCTCTCTCTCTTTTTTCTTTTTTTTTTAAAATTTAAAATACTTTTTAACTTATCTAATTTTCTAAATTTAGAAGAATAAATAATATCTACTACATCTGAAGATCATATTTAATTTACAACCTTTTTTAGCAGTTTTCTTACAGTGGCCAATACATACATATATTGTTATACAGTTAAACCTACATACCCCTTTAGCCCTCTTCAACTGAAAATTATCTTCCAAGAACGTGAGCTTCATATTGACAGACTACAATGGTTGAAATGAGGAAGGAGTTTATGAATGGATATGTGCTCAAGTTCTACAATTGGGGGATGGGTACTTGTCACTTATGGTTAATGATTAGTGATTACTGTGAAATCTTGGAATAAAATTCTTAAAAAAATCAACGAAATTGAAGTTCCTGAACCAGTAGATCTTCCCGATGAAAAGATGCCAAGTTATACAGCAGAAGAAATAGAAGATTGGTTCGAGACACTGAAAATGACCCACGATTTCAAATTTTAAATAATGATGAAATTGTTGCTGAAATTTTGAATGAAAATCGGAACTCCACAGACGAAGAGGTAGGTGATCAAATTCAAGATAGTGGACCTTCTCATATAGAAGCATGCAATTCATTAGATATTGCAATGAATTGGCTAAAACGTCAAAATGATGTTGATCCAGTTCAGTTGATTTATTTAAAAAGCATAAGGGATATGGCTGCTCGAAAAAGAGCATCTTCTTTGAAAAAGTCTTTGATGGATTTCTTTTGCAATGGAAAATAAATATAATGTGGTAAAATATGCAATTGATAAAAAAAAAATTATAAAAAGCTGAAATATGATAAAAATAATTTAAAATGAAAGAAAAAGTTTTAAAAAATATTTAAAAATTGGAAAAAAAAAAGCAACTTTTAAACACGCCAGAGCTATTTTAGATAGTACTACCAGTCCTAAGCCTAGAAAAAGTGTGAAAGGAAGTTAGTGCACAAATAATAATCATTTACACTAGATTTTAAACAACTTTCCAATTATCCGAACCACGTTCGGTCCTGAGTAGTTCGGATAATCGGCCCTCTACTGTATATACTTTTTATGAAATAACTACTTTAGTGCTTATGTTTTGTTTTATAGGAAGATTATGATTTCGAAAGGATATCTTCTCAAGGATTTGCTCTAATAACATCTCAGCAAGTACCTTTGCCTTGTGTCTGTTATTTATGTGGAAGTGCAGGACAAGAAAAGGTAAGAGTTATAGAAATCTAAAATGTTGACTTAATAAGTCCTCATCTAATTATTTTTTTATTTTTTTTATTGTTTAATTTACTAAATATATTTTCATAGCTGCCAACTCTACTGGATTTTCCAGTAGACTACTGAGTTTTTGCTGGTTTGATAAAAAATTCTAGTTTTTGTACATTTTCAAGGGTCTGTTTAGAAGAAATTTGTGTCCATTATATCTTTTCATAAAAACAGACCTTTCGCAAAATATTTTAACTAAAAACGGACCCTTCACAAAATAATTTATCTTTTAATCGGACCCTTCACAAATTTGTTTACCTTCATTATTGTTTTGTAAATCGAATAAACCCTTCCCTGGGCGGAAGAAAGACGGATGTAAACGAACTAAGTTTTAGTACCACAAACGCTTCTTCCTTTATTCGTCCGAAATGAATATTCAGCGTTCAGCAGTATAGGCTAAATACCAAATATTTGTATGTTGCATCTCTAATTTAGTAGCATCAATTGCTGTTAATTATTTTTTTGTTATAATTTTACAGTGTTGAGCATAATCTCATATATCTTTACAATTTAAAAACTCCTTGAAAAAGTTTATTGCAATAACAGGACCCTATTTGCACAAATTCACAAAACAGGACCCTGGTTGAAAGAATGTGACTTAACGCTTATTTTATATTTACGAATTATGAGTAATTTTTTCACAACTTTACAAAAACGGACCTTTCACAAAATGTCTGGACAGACCCCTGATTTTAGAAAATTCTCTAAAATTGAGTAAGTTTCCTTAAAAAAATCCCTGTTGAAATAGAATTTTTGTGCAGATTATTGCTTGCTTGAATATTTAAATTAGTGTCACTAGTACATAATAAAGCAAGCCTCATTTATGAAATTCAGCTAACTATCTTTGATGAATTAAATGCCTATTACTATTCAAAATTATGAATATAAAAAACGCTAAAATTCCCAATGTGTAAAATATTTAACATGCTTTGCAACAATTATCATGAAATTTGTATTTCGTAAAATCTACTGGATTTTTTCCTCTCCATGTTAGCAGCTATGTATTTTAAATGTATGTTCTTTGAAATGATTAACTATTATATGCATTTCTTGTCATTTCAGTTAATTTTCTGTGTATTATGCTGTGAACCATACCATACCTTTTGTCTTCCTGAAAATGATGTGCCACATGAAGAAAATATTGAAAACTGGTGTTGCAAAAGATGTCAATCCTGTGCTGTTTGTGGCTTAAAAAGCAATGTATGTTTGTTTTGTTTTTTTATCATTATTTTGGTTTTGGCCAATTAAGTTTTAAGTTAAGTTATAGGATTTTACCTAACCAAAAGAGTAAAAATGATGTTTTATTTTTATGTCATTAAATCTCTTGTTATCAAGCATGTTCTTTAATACAGATTTGAAAATTTTAAAAAAAAATTATAATCCTTCAATTTTTTGCTCAAAAATTACAGTATATATTTGTGAGAAAAACTTGCAGACATTTTTGATAACTGTTAATGCAAATGTCTATTCTGAGAGATTGTGAAATTGTATTTATGCTAAAATTTGATGTTTTGATAGTAAAATGAAGCAAACTGAGGGGGGGGAATGTGACAAACTTAATGAGAAATAGATTTTAACACTTAAAATAATGTTTTTGACTAAACATGAGTAATAACAGCTGCAACATCCAAATTAACTTCTTATTTTACATTTCTTTTCTAGCATCACTAATTTAATAAATAAGGAAACTTGGCCAAAATAAAGCTTACAGTAAATAACTCAACTTCATGTCAGTTTTCAATGTGAAATACAGAGGGGAAAAAAATTAACAGATAACTAACATTCTCTTTTTGTCTGTTTATGTAGTTATGTTATGTAACCCTTTTTTAGATAGTCTACGTTTCATTTACTTAAAATGGTTGATAATTGTCAATGTAGCTAAAACTTTTATAAAGATGTTTGTAATATACTTTTTTTATAATTAACGGGGTTTTTTTCTTTTCTTTTAGCTCCTAAAGTGCAAGAAATGTCAAAATACTTACCACTCTGATTGTTTAACTCCGCATTATCCAACAAAGCCTTCCAGAAAAAAACGCATATGGGTATGTATGTTGGGCGTTATCTTTTTTTTTTTTACATTTTCCTATGAACAAATTTTTGAATGTTAGAAAAAGTTTTAGTTATGATGTATAAAAGTTAACTCTTGTCAACATTATAATTTTGATTCTTTTGTGTTAAAAAAAAAAAGCTAGGTCATAGTTGCTAACTACTCTGAATTTTATAGTAGATTTATAGATTATGAGTTTCTACTGATATATTTTAAGTTTCTCATAGTTTCCAATAACAGTTTTAGTGTGAGGCAACTTGAAATTTATTTTTGCTTTTAAGATAAAATTAAGCATTTGTAGCTAAGTTTCTAACTGATTTTTTTTCTATCTCTGCCAACTGAATTAGTGAGCCACCATGGCAGCATTAAATATTTATTTTGGCTTGGTTGGTGACAAAATGAAGCCAATTTATCATATTATTTTTTTACTTATTGACAGTGCAGGATTTGATCATTGATTTACAATTCAAAAATATGTTTATTGATGCTGAACAAAACCTGTCTTTTTTTTTGCATTATTGTTATAAAATTTTTATTCAAAAACCGTTGTCCTTGTGCAACGACATATATATGTATTGTTTTACGTAATATGATATATTCTAGCTTTTCAAAATTTGCAAACATACCGAATTCTACATAAATATTTGTATCTTTCCAGATGCTTTGCAAATACCCTTCAAATTTTTTTCTATAGTGTGTCAAATCAATAAATTTGTTTCTGTTTCTTTTTAAAGATTTTCATTGTTTTTTAACTGTTTAGAATCTTACTCTTTATCAATCCTGATAAAATCGTTAATTAAGGTCAAATAATTTTTTTTACTCAACTTAATGCCTATTGGAAATTTTAAATTAGTAAAAGTAGACAACTAAACAATGAAGTGAACCTAATACAGTAGAGAACCGATTTTCCGGAACGATCGGGACTATCGCTATTCCGGATAACTGATTTTTCCGGTTTTCTGAATTGCTACAAAAAGCCTTTTTTTTTAGTGTTAAACCCATCTAAAAAAAATTAAAATTTTGGAAATAATCTTAAAAATAAGAAAAAACGATGAGGTAATACACTAATGACTATTTCTGAAATAATGGTTAGGTAAACATCTTTCAAAAAAGAAAGAAAAATCCTAAAATCTTATGAGGGAAAAAAAAAATTTTTAAAAATTGCGGGAAAATGTATCGAATTTCGTTCCGGTTTTTTGGTTTTTTGATTTCCAGATAACTGGTTCTGTACTGTATATAGTAATCAATTGGAAAAAAATATATTTTTATTTTTTTTAAGAAATAGAGACTTTTTTTTATTCAAATTAACTTTGAAACAGTTTAGAAATAAAAAGTTTATGAACAAAATATAGATAAAGGAAAGAGAAAAACAAATACCTGCTCTGATTTAATTATTTTCGAATTACAAATCTGAATTTATTACACATTTGTTGATTATGTCATGCACTCCTTTGGCAATCAAAAACGTGCTTTATCATGCACTGTTTTAATAAAAAAATTTACAAATGATATCAATACCATTTTTAGAACAAACAGTCTAATAGTGTTTTTTTTTTTTTTTTTTAAACCTACGATTATAGCAGAATTTTAGTGCAAAGCTTATTGAAAAATGAAATCATCTTATAGGCTGCGGCCACTCAGCAAGAAATAACTATTACTTAAAAAAATTTATGGTTTGTTTTATGTAGTTTAAAATTTTGATAACTATTACAGTTAAAAAATTGTTATGAAAAATGATTTTGGAAATTTTATCATAAGAATATATTATATAAGATTTGAGGATATTTTATTAAGCACTTTACCTGATACCTTATATGTGGTGATATTTACTGATAAAGTGCTGGTCATTTGTTTCAGGGAAAATATATTAGTTGGGTCCCCCTTTTCTTTGAAAGTACTCTGACATACAAGAGCTACATTTTGATAACTCTATTTTCTGTGCTTGAGGATTCACAGTTTTCTAAGTCCTGATAAAAATTATGAAATCTATATATTTTTCTATTTGAATATAAAATTTTATCTTTTTTTATTGTGAAATAATTTTGCTAATTAATGAGCGCATTTTTATTTGTTTAATTTTTTATATCAAAATGATCTTAGTTTGACCCTCTGGCGGTTTTACAAATGGGCAAAATTGGGAAGAATGTTTCTCCCCTATCTATTAACATGTAAAAACCGGCTATGCTTTGCGAAGAAGACTGCAGGTTAAAATGTAACTTTTTACATGCAGAACCGTCAGTTGGTTAATGATATTTTAACACACATGCAAGTATTAACTTATTTCTGTTTTGTTGGTAAATATTTAATATTTATATGTGAGCAATATTGATGTGCGGTAATTTCTCTGTGAAAAGAGAATTACAATATCTAATGAAAGAAACAGATTTTATTCAAACAACAAATAATTATTTATTTTAGATGTGTCCCAAATGTGTGAAATGCAAAAGTTGTGGTACTACCTCACCTGCGTCAAGTGGAGGTCCTTTATGGAATTTTGACCTGCTGTTGTGTCAGTCCTGCGCAAAATTAACTGATAAAGGTATAGACTGCTTTTAAATCGCGAAAGCTTGTTTTTAAATAGTTATTTTATGCCAGCACACGCATTACTTTGCCAATCTTAAACCCACCTCTACTACAGCCTCTGTGGCCTTTTCATCTAATGGAGCACACACAAGAACTTATGTAGCATGTAAACAAAATTTTGACCTCTCACTCCCTGCTCTGTTGTGTATAAGCGTGAAACCGCTATTTATTATATTTCAAAACGAAAAACAATAATGAAATTATTGTATAGTTCTGTTTCAATTTTCAAGGTTATGAAATAAATTCTGTTTTCCGAGATGTGTTTAATTTATTTCCTCTAAACACCACATTGTCTTTAAGATTATTTCTAAGCTTATACATAGTTTAAATTTTGTTAACATGCTACTCGATATTTTTTTTTTATTTTTTATTCCACTATGCAGTAGAATTGTGATTATTTTTCTTACATTTGGCACATTTAAATAATACGCATTTGACTTTTAAGTCTGAATGTGGCATTACTTTTTTTCAGACTCTAGGTCTTCTGTTTCTATTTGCCATTCTCCTCTTTAATTTTAGTGTTTAGAAATTTCGCTATTTAAAATTTCCTAAAACTAACATTTCTTTTAAAGAAGCAAATTATAGTTTTACTGCATCAGTAGCATGTTAAATTTCTTTACTTATTTATTCTTACTTATTTTTTTCTTATTTATACTTACATGCCTATACACATAAAATTTGCCTGCAGTTTTTAATTTCTACTTTTTGTGACTTTTAAATATGTTTTTATATTTTGCACATTAAAAATGAAAAATAATCAGTTCACTTTATCTCTTTTTAAGAATTTTCTTTGAACAGGGTTCCCATGGAGTCAGAGAATTTGTTTTTGATGAATAAAAATCAGGCATTGTATTTTTTTTCCCTTTACATCAAGGTTGAAAAATAACCAATTTATATATTAAAAAAAATAGGCACTGAGTCTCTCAATAAATAAGCGTATTATTTATTATTCTTAGTAAAATTTCCTCTGCAACATGGTTAAATTTTTTTTTTGGATTTATTAAAACCAAATTATTTATTTGTGCAAAATACTTTTCAATAATATTAGACCAGTAATAATTATTTTTAAAATTCAGCTATCTATGTGAATAAAATTTGGTTCTTATTATAAAATCTTCTGTTTAAACCTTTGCTTAATAAATTTTTTTAGTTGGTTGAAAAAATACAGTCAAACCTCAATCCATAGTTCCCGCGTCATTCCTATTCTCGTGTAGATTGTCTTGTTTTAACAGTGATGTCACAAATATCATTCTTATATTGTTAATAATACCTATTCACATTGTCAGGGTTCCTACACGGTCAGGAAAACCTGCAAAAATCAGGCTATTCTAAAATTAAGCTAAAAAGTCAGGATTATTCTTACATATTCATAAAGTCAGGATTTTTCTTACTTATTCATAAAGTTAGGAAAATAAAAAAAAACTATAGTTCATTCAAAGACTGACAGGCAAAAATAAAGTTTCAAGGAAAAATTCTGTAATTCAAAATATGTAATTTCCTCATAATAACATACCCTTTTCCCTGGTAGAACCTGTCCTGTTAGCAATTTTCCTCCTGTTTATCCAATGATAAGGAATTTTTGATAGGGTTGCTAGGTTTATTGCTCTTTGTGTGAATAACTGGTTTACAGACAATAGTAGCAGAAAAATCAAAAAAGGAATTTTTACTGTTTTGTGATGCTGCCAAAAAAAAAAGAAGAAGAAGAGCAAAAGAGTTTCTTAGAGTTTAATCCACAGCAAAAGATATTAGATAATTTTTTTTGAAATATTTGCACGGAGAAAAAAAATGTGAAAATTTGTGGGAGATTATAAAAAATTTTCTTATCCTCTCTCATGGTAACGCAACAGTTGAAGGCGGGTTTTCAATCAATAAAAGCTTATTGGTTGAAAACCTCAATGAAGACTCTATTATTTCACAAAGGCGTGTGTATGATTATGTTTCGTTTATAAATCGACTAAAAAACATTTACATTAATGAAAAAATGCTAGATGCTGTAAAAGGATCTAGAACAAGAAAAATGGAGACATGCATTAGAAGCCAAAAAAAAAAAGAAAACGAAAGAATAAAAAAGCTGAAATTTCTAGAAAACTAATAAAAGAAAAGATAGATGATTTGAAATTTAGAAAATCTAAATTGGTGAAAACTGCTGCTACAGAACTGGATGTTCTTGATTCAAAAATTTTCAAACAACAAAATATGTTGAGAAATATTAAATAACATAGGAGCCCCTGAGTTTCTCCTGAAGCTTACAGTATTACAGAAATAAATTTAAAAATACTGAAAAAAAGGGACATTTTTGATTTTATTTTTCTCACAAGTTGCATAATTTTTTTATCTGAATTTTTATTTGTATATAATTAACTTTTTTTGACTTTTTCCCCTTTTTTATTTCAATATTATCTTTTAAAAGAAAAGTCAGTTTTAAGTGAAATTGTGATTTTTAAAAATTAATACAGTGCACTCCTGATTATCCGGGTTAATCACCGGGACAGGGAGCACGGAGAATCCGAAAACTCTTTTAATTAGAGAAAAAATCAATATCAGTACAAAAAATATGAAAATTACTGACATTTGCATGCTGTATAACATCAAACTAGGAATTTTCATTTTTAAAAATTGTGTAATGCGTCTTCGTCATATGTTTTACGAACCTCCCATATCAAATCCTCCCGTATAATCTAATAAAATTTCCACAGAGCAGCAGAAACAGAAATTGTATTTCCCTCATTTACTACATCTTCTGCATCAGTTACTATCATCACTATTTGATTTAACAACATAACGATGTCTTCATCTGTCAAATACTGGAAGTCAGGCTCACATGCATAACTTTGAAACCAGTCTTCAAAATTTTCTTCGTCAAGAATTTCGAAACCTCAGATTTCTTTTGCTTGTTCGAGAATACTGTTATCTTATTTTTCTTGAACATCTGAAGAAGATTGCTCATCAAGCGATATTATCTTTCTCCAAGATTGTGATAAAGTAGACGATTTTACCTTTGACCATGCTGCTGATATTCGATATACTTCAATCCACTGACGAATATTGCTTCCAAAAATTTGGTAGTGTTATAACTTCATGAATAAATTTTTTTTTTTAATCTTTAAAATGTTTCTTTATATTTTTTGTGTGACTCCGGAATGAGCACGGATAATCCGCAAACGAGATAATCCGCTCACGGATAATCAAGAGTGTACTGTATTTTAATGTAACAAATGTTCTAGTATGTTTTAAGAGTAAATATTATCTAAGGATACTGATACATATCTCGCAAGTTTGATTAACCCTTTATATCCTGACGACACTCATGCATTTGGTTCTTCTTAATATTAAATAAAATAATATTTCCATAATCCAGCAGATTTTCTTGATCTTTTTATTTAAATAGTTTTTGTATCTAACTGCAAAAACACACTAAAAATTTAATCTAATCATGATAATTAAAAATATGTTTCACAAGTTTTCTGAAAATATAATTTGGGATATAAAGTGCTATTACGCAATTCCACTTTAATATATAAGTGTTTATCCTATTCAATCTATGATACTTATGACTAAGTAGCATATTATTACTAATTGAAACTGCAATGTTAAAAGTTTTGTTGGAGTGGGAAACGGCGGGTCAGGAATTTTATTGTAAAAGGTCAGGAAAAACCTGCAAAAGTCAGGATATTGTTTTCTCAAAATAGTGTAGGAACCCTGATTGTTTTTGAACTTTGTTTGCTAAGAAATTCATCGATTGCTTAGAAATTCTACCTACGTTTAAAAAAGAATAAAAGTTATTTCATTTTGTTAAGAAAAACAGTAATTTTTTACAGTTCGGGTAAAACATTATTATCATGTTTGATGTTTATGTACCAATTAACTAAAATATTGAAATGTGTGGTGGCGTTGATTCAAGAATGAGTTGGTCAAATGTAAAGATAAATTTTGAAATTTTTGCTCATTCCGAAATTGAGTGAGTGATTTTTGGCTGCAATAATCCTTCTATGTGATACATGAGGGGGGGGGGAATAAGCTTTTCTTTCCTCGCTGTAGTGAAATACGGGATTTCATTTTTTTTTTTTTTTATCCGATGCCCGCCTGATTAACACTCGTCATTCAGATAGCAGTAGGGCAAATTTGTTAGGCACCATATTAGGTTGCTCCCCCAATAAGGACATATGGTATAAAGAATGAAAGAACATCCACGCCTTGTCTGCGATTCGAACCCAGGACCTTTCTTTTGTGAGGTTAGGTCCCTGACCACTCACTACACACTCCGGTCGACAGGGTAGGTTAAAAATCTTAAAGAAGTGAAGGGTAGTGAAAGATTCTCATCTTACATACATTTTTTAAACAAGTCACAAGTATAAAAAATACATATATAAATTGTAAGGGTAAAAGAGTTTTGCTTATTTTGATTGTTAAAAAGGGTCCAGAAAAGATACCCTTACTCTAAACGGATATCCCAGTATAAAACTTTTTACTGTATCTGCTGCAGAGCTTTTCTTCCAATGAACTGCTACAGTATGCTGAAGCAATTTGGTAAACATATTAATTAAAATTAATGTAGATGCTTTTAAGGAAAAGAAAAACTAAATTCACAGTAAATAAATAATTCATATCTAAGTTTAACTAAAATTTTAGTTAATCTGCAGGCAGAGTGTAAAAATGTTCAAGATTATACTTTCATGCTTAAAAGTTCGTTAGACTGGTGAAAATTAGATCCCAAGAAGTGATCAAAAGTTCTCCTTCCTTTAACATTATATTTTTTGGTTTAATTGTATTACAAAATCAATTGCCCATATATCAGCAAAAGATTCATCATTTATAACATTTTAAATAAATATAATTGTATGCGAAATATTATAAATTTTAAAGAAAATTATGTTTCATTCTTCATAAATTTATTAAAGGAATTTCATTAATTTAATCCAAAATGTGAACCGCTTAGGTTAAATAATTACTGAGCGA